AGAGCAAAAGGGCATGGGGCGTGTCTAAAACACCCTGAAGGGCCTACAACAGATTGAGCTAATCTGTTAATCTGAACAACAGATTGAGCTAATATTGCCTCAACAAGCAAAAGAACCAAATTTTCATAAAGAATGTTTATGTTGTGCCATGCTAGCTTAACTGATAATAAACTTGAATGTTAAGAGGAAAAGCAAAATCGGCTCTAAGAATCAGACAAAATACAAGGGTTGAATGAGTAACTAACAATTAAATACTGGGGAATAATTAAGCATGATACAAATGTTGCAAAATAAAGATGTTCAAAGCATTCCATCCTTGGAACACTCCACGTGTTTCAAGCTGCTGGCTGATCCATGTGGCAAGACCACCCTCATTTTTATATAATATATAACGTAAGTCATTATTCCTTTCAGACAGGGACCAATTCTTTGCCTGATATTATTGGCTGAGAATGGATGGGGTAGCGAGGGAGTGGCAGGAGAGAAGCAGCACTGATTTAAGCACATACTCCAAGATTGAAGAATAGCTGGAGATGACAGGGCTACTAAAACTGCCATTGGAGGTCACTGCCCTAAGCTTGTTGACTTCCACAAGTGCTTCTTCCCTCCCCATCACATAAATTTCTTTTAAAGAGGTATAGGACCTGGTAGATTACAGAAGAGGAGATGCCTCCATTTTTAAGCCTGTACGCATTTCTCTCTCCCCTATGTCACTCCTCCCCCTAATCCTCCCTCCTAATTAAGGCATTTCCATTACTTCAGTAAAGTTGGGCAGACTTAAAAATCCAATAAATAAATCAATAAACTCTGCTTGTCTGTTTGGGAGCAATTAACTTCAATTGTCTCAGCAGGTAGCAGTACCTAGCCAGCCCCATCTGATCCTGGAAGATAAGCCAGATGACATGGCTAGGGGACAATCTAGAAAATCCAAACTGTTGACTAGGAATCAGAGAAAAATGCCAGAAGGCAACAGTGGCAAAGCACAGCACTGCCAAGAAAACAATATGGATGTAGTCACCCAGAGTTCAATCTGATTCTGACATTTTTACTTTTATATTATGTAACAGTCACTTCCTTCTGATTAAATTAAGCTGTTGCTTTTAAACTAAAGCTTATTTTCACATCTACCCCTCCCCCAATTTAGGGATGGCTAGCTATATCCTCCCTCTCTCCCACTCCCATAAAAATCCCATTGTCCAAAGCCACCCTGACTGAGAAAGAGCATCTACAGGAAGAGAGAGGCCAAGGGAGAGGATGGGAGGCAGCTCTGAAGAGGCTGGACTTTAGTAATATGCCTGATCCTTTTGTAGCAGGAAGTGTCACTAGATGGGCATTATGGGTGAAGCAGAGGTAGAATCCAATGCTGAAGGGTAGGGATTGCCTTCCCACAGCAGCAGAGATGGCCTGATCTTGCAGAAGTATGCTATGCTACTCATTGCCACTACAGAACACATTTCAGCAGGGTTAGCAAACCATTTTTTCCAATGTTAGAACGTGTCAACTGACTCTCCCACTGACGGCTGTAGGAAAAGTGTGTTGCCTACTAGCAGCAAGTTCTGTCACAGTTAATAATACAGTCCTTGGCAGACAAAGGGTGAGACAGTACAAAATCATTAGTACAAAGGTGAGAGTAGTACAAAACGATAACAGTGTAGTGATGACAGCTTTGGACAACCAACACTTTAGCATGGAAGGGGACACAGGCTTCCCAGAGCTTTCTCCTGCTCTTTACTCCCAACTACAAGATTCTCTTACATATCGACTTGAATGGGCAGGTGTTACCCTCCTTGAATCACTTGTTCAGGGAGCAACATTGGCCTCTCTCTGAACAGCAAGGAACAAAAGAACATCTATGACATCTTGTCTACTTTGTGCCTCTTACCTGCTGGGATACCTTTCTCCAAGCACATTGCTGAGATCTCTGTGCTTGACCTCTGTGCCCGGACAAGCAGTGCCCACAATTCATTTACTAGAAAAAGCCTTGGGCAAACTCCAGAGCTTTGGCAAACTGACTTGACACTGCAGTTCTGTGATGCTTGAAGAACAAGCCAGACAGCGAAGCAGAGAATAGTCAGCAATGACAATTTCCCTGGTGGACCTGGTGGCTGAGGTGTCCTAGGCCAAAGAGGCTAGGAAACAGCCAAGAGGAAGAGATTCAGAACTCCAGCTGATGTTCCTTCCATTCCCTAGCAGAAGCCAGACTTTTAGCGCAGGGTTCTCACTGACAAGCACAGGAATAACAGCCCCCTCTTAGGGTGATCTGTTTACAAGTCTTACCAGAGGAAAAAGTGGTGCCATCTCTAAGAGCATCTGCTGTAGCATCTGAATACTGAACACTTATCTGTAAAATGCAGCAGACTTTCCAAAAGCAAGAAAGAAATAGGAAGGGAATCGTGTTTCTGACAGTCGAATTTGTGAGTAGTCCATTTTAGAGGAAGGACCTGGCCCACTGCTCTCTATTCCTCTTCCCTGCTTTAAATGTCTCTCCAGTACATTGCTGAGCAGGGGGAATTATTAATCTGCTTAACTTTCCTCTGGCCATTCTTTTGCCATTTCTACCTATCCTATTCAGTCAATAAATTACACATTGATTTACTGTAGCAAGAACATTACTAAGGCATTCGAGACTCACACTTGGACATTATTTTGTTGGCATAACTCTTAAAGACCAATCTTCCCTATAAGCTTATCCTGAACTGAAGGTTAGCCCCTTATCTCAGACTCCAGGCCAGTAGTCACTGCCCATTGCCAACTTAAGGCTGATGATGACAGCTCTGTTCCTCAGTTACCAATTCACTTAAATTTCACAATCCATCTGCATCACTCCAGTGGCATAAGCTACTGCCTCCATCCCAGTCATTAGCTCATGCCACTAGAGTGATGCACACTGAGAGCCTGTCAATCTGTAGCATCATCTGAACTAGAGACGGACCCAGCTACCAGCCTCTACGGACCATCTTTCAAATCCATGCATGACTGAAGAACTCCAATGCTTCCGGGGAAGAAATGGTGAACTGAAGACAGCTCCACTGAGACCAGAGCCGACAACCAAGGTGGAATGAGGGACTGGAGAATGGATCAGCTTCTCAGAATTCCTTTCCAGACTAGGAGAGGACCTGGAATCGCCCACAAGCACTCCAGACAGCAGCTTCCCATGAGGAGGCCATAAGACAGTGGTCTCTAGCAGGTTTAGAGCTCTGGGAGCTGAGGAATTGCCATTTTTGCCCAAGCTGTGGTCAGTGCCTTCAAAACGATGCTGGGTTCGCATACTTCCTCTTTTAATCACTTCTGGGAATTGCTTAACTTCTTTTTTTTTTTGATATTAGGGACCTTCAGAAAGACAAGTTTCTTCACACTGGGTGAGTTTCCTTCAGTTGGCAAAAGAAGTTTTATGCAAGTTTAAGGACTTTAAAAAAATTCTAATTTTGGAATAAACAGCAAAAGAGTGATTAGAACGTTGATTTTGGAAGGTTATAAACAGAGGCCAGATGGATTTGAAATAAGATTTTGAAATTAATTACAAGAATCCTTCCTGTAGGTTGCTTAGAATTCTATAAAAAAAGTTCCCACAGGAAAATGCTGTTGATTAGAAAAAAACATGGTAAGATGGGACTTTGAAAGTCGGACACTAAAGGGAACCAGAAAGAACTAAAGATTATAATTAAAGGAGAAGAGACCCACTAATACAGAATAGAGCAAAACACTCTGACTTTGGAAGAATTCAAGGATATTTGGGAACAATGTACTCAGAAATTACTCTTAAGATTGTCTGCTATCATAAAACTGGATTTAAAAGTGGTTATAGAGGAACAAGTTTTACTGGACAAGATCTAGACTGAAGTTGATTCAAATGTGGATTTTAAAACAACAGATTACAAGAATGATATATGGAAAAAGATGTTACACTGGATTTACAAATGCAACTGGCTGATGTCTCAATAATTAAAAGGGATATACAAATAACAAACCAGAAGAACAACTTGGATAACTTTCTTATTTTGGATTTACAAAAGAGATGTGTTAAAAGTTTTGAAGGAGTTTCTGAGAAGAGACAAAGACAAGATGAAAAGAAATCAAGTTCTGGGACACTATTCAAAGGGATTAAAGATCAAGATTGTTAAAAGCAATGGAAAGGAATATAAAGTTAGTTTATTTGATCAAGGTTAAAATATATGTTGTTTCTGGTAACTCTTAATGGATTTTTGTTGACCAGGGCCAAATGATGAGGCTTTAAAGATTTGCTCATAGATAAGACATATGGGAAGAAAAGATCTTTTGTTGTATTTTCAGAGAATGTGGTAAGTTAGTGTGTTAAAACTAAAGGAAAGGAATATAAAGTTGGTTTATATGATCAAGGGTAAAATGTGTGTTATTTCTGGTAACTTTTAATGGACTTTTGCTGATTAGGACTGAATGATGAGGCTTTAAGAATTTAGTTACAGATAAGAGATAAGATATCAGAAAAGGTGGTAAGTTACTGAAATTGTTTGTACTTGTCATAATGAAGGGGGAGATAAGTTCTTTATATATTTTTTCTTTTATCTTTACTATCTTTTTCAATTTTTTGTTTTTTCCCTGCACTTTTTTTTTTACTCTTTTATATTTTTCTTAGTTTGTATTCTTTTTATCTTTGTATCTGTAAACTTTAATAAAATTATATAAAAAAAACCAAATATCCATGTATGTGCATGATGTTGCCAAGTTTTGACGGGTTGCACTAGTTTTGAGGCCCATGGCACGCGCACGCACGCACGCACACACGACAATGAATAGATGCAATCTGGGCAGCCAATTCAAGCCAACTAAAGCAGCAAATTGCTTATACAGTACCTGTATCTCTATCTGATTGGTTATCATTATCCTGCACTTATTA